GATTTATTCTTTTGCTTCTTGAAGATCCTTTAGTCTTGAAGCGACCTCTGCTAAAGTACAGATATTCTTGGAAGGAGAGAATGTATTGTACTTCATCAGTTAATAATTATTGGGTTCTGAAGTTGGAGCCCTTTAGCTTGAAATCCTGGCTTTGCTATTTATCTTGAGTCAGTTATTAATTTCTCCAGGCCTCGGTTTCCTCATCTTGTAAAATGGGTGGAGGAGGACTAGATGATCTTTAATGTCCCTTCTAATAATCTTATCATCTTCAAATTAAAAATGAATGGAGAATTCACTGAAATGAAATGTAGAATAGGTATTTATTACAATAAAGGATGAGAGAGAGTATAGGATGGGTGGGAGAATGGAACACTGTAAAAGAGAGGTGGAAGGGAGTAAAATACAAACTTGGGAACATATTTACAGAGGTCATGTAGTCCAACCCTCTCATTTTACAGATGATGAAACTGAGGCCCAGAGAGGTTAAGTGTCTTGTGTGATATCATGAAGATTTGATTCTGAGTCTTTTTAACTTCAAACTTTTCACTATGTAATTTTTCTTTGGTTAGGCTACCCCAAATAGGCAACTGGGCATATCCTTTGACAGGGATGATTAGGCCTTGAAGGTCCAGCTTTGCCCTTTGATGTCACATGTGAGTCACCTATTACAACAATGTTATTTAGGGATCTTAAACCCAGAAAACCCTGTCTTCTTAAGCATTATGAAAGTCCACCTTGTCTGGTAGACAAAGATTGTTCTATTATGGCAAGAAATAAAGCATGTTATTTTTGATTAAACTTGATTAAACAAACTCATTGTTCCTAATAAAATACTGGTTGGTCAGCATTCCATTCTAATAGTGGAGTTTCCACTCCAGTCAGTCAACATGGTTTTATTGAACATCCACTGTTTATTTCTTTTCTGGGATGCGGATATGTTACTGTCTACACATAGATGGAAAGAAAAGAAAAAAGGAAGTTGGAATGCCAAATACAGTTGTTCCAAAAGAGTAACAGAATTGTCTTTAACATAGAATCCTTCTATCCAAATATACAAAAAAAACTTTCAGTTTCCAAAAATAATTTGTGTTCCTCAAAATCTCTGCCAGCCACAAACTAATGCTGTCACCTCCAACTGATGTGAGACTGAGTCTCCTAGCCCAAACTGAAGGCCTGTAAAGCACTTGTCATTTCTAGCATTCTATGTAACTGGAGACAGTTCTTGTTATAGATGTCTTACGTGTCAACTTAAGCATATTAATCAGCAAGTCCGACTTTAACACATAGCCAGTGAAGGCCCTTGTCTAGCATTACGATTTGAGAGGGAACAAAAAACTCTGCCCAACACTGCTTTACAGGTTCAGAGATAAAGACCCTGAAGGGATCTTAGCAGTTATTGAGGTCAACCTCTTCATTTTACAGAGGCCCAGAGAAATGAAATGGCTTGTCTAAAGTCACACAGGTTATCAGCAGCAGAGCCAAGATTGGAACCGAGGTCCTCCAACTCTTTGTCATGGGTCCTGAGATCCCATCGTGATTTCTTAATATCATAGTTCTATGTATCAGTAAATTGCTTTCATAAGATGATTGATCTAGAAAGGATATTAGTGGCCATTTAGTCCCTCATGAGAGGCAGATAAATGGTGCAATGTATAGAGTAATGGACTCAGAGTCAGGAAGACCTGAATTCAAATGCTATCTCATCTTCTTAACCGCTGTGACCCTGGACAAGTCACTTAACCTCTCTCTGCTTCAATTTCCTCATTTGTAAAATGGGAATGATAATATCACTCAACTCCCAAGGTTCTTGTAAGGATCAAATGAGATAACATATCTGTAAAGTATTTACCAATCTTAAAGTTCAATACAAATGCTAGTTATTATTATTATTATTGTTGTTATTATTATGGAATCTAAGGCCCAGGAAGGGTAATTTACTTATCTAGGGTCACACAAATAACAAATGTCAAAGTCAGGATTTGAATCCAGGTCCTCAGTCTTTAGAGCCAGTACTCTTTCCATTGCATTAAGACCATTGTGCGATACAAGTGTTATCAGGGAGGAATAATGTGCAGAGCAATTGCTTTAATTCTTCAAGAAGTCCATGATTTCATTGGTACGGATATTTTCTTACCTGATGCACATTGATTACTACCTATCCATGTGTTTGCATTCATGTCTTTCTGGAAATCCTCTATAGAGAAGTTACTCAATATTCTCCAGACATTCTTCTGAGTCTTTTACTATTTCATGAATATTGTTAAGATATCAATCATTAATATTAGCATATCTGATCCATTATCTAGTTAGGTCCTAAAGGAATGGGACTAGGACAGGTAAGTTGTAATAGAGGAAGAGAGCAAAAATTCAAAGCAAGAGGAACACATTTGGAAGGAAGGCTAATGGCAGTTCTATAGCTCGTTCATGTGTGTGTATGTTGGGAGGGTGAGTTTCTGGGAAACTGCTTGGTCATCAGATATTTGTTGATCATTGCTTAATAGCACCTAGAGCTGGGTGGTAAGAAGGAGAAAGAAGCAATGAAGTATACCAAAGAAAGTTTTGTCATCTTTACTTTTTCCTATGTCCTGCCTTATTTGTCTCTGTAACATATGTAATGAGAAGCATCAAGGCATTGTGGTGGATTTGGAATCAGGAAGACCTTAGTTCACATTGGCCATATCACTTATCTTCTCTCATCTTCAATTTCCACAACTGTCAAATGAAAGAGTTGCACTCAATGATCTTCAAGGTCCCTTCCAACTCTTAATCTATGATCACACATACATATGTGTGTATGTATTTTTTTTTAAGCAGTTAAGGTTAAGTGACTTGTCTGAGGTCAGATTTTGAACTCAGGTCCCCTGACTCCAGGGCACTTGCTCTATCCACTGTGCTACCTAGCTGCTGTGATCCTACATTTTTAATAGATTCTACTAGATATTAAATGTCAAGATATGATCACCAACATAGAAGTCCTGGAAAATAAGCAGTGTCACCACTGACATGGAGTAAATCACAGTGTGACTGCTGAGTTGGAGAGAGGCAGCACACTAACATGGCTTTTGCATGATGAGATGAAGTGAGCAAGGAAGGAAGGAGGGTTTGAGGGCTCCTCAAATCATGGTGTTTATCTGTGGTCAGCTGAAACCAACAGAGGTGGGCATAGAGAGTCATCTGACGCAGAGCAGCAATCAGGAGGGAAGGAGATCATTGTGGCAGTAAGTGACTACAGTTATCCTTTCCACATCACGACTTTCCCCATTGTGGTTTCAATATACTGTGGGTCAGCATAAGAAACTAAATGGGAATTTGGGGGGAGTTTTGCGGAAGCTAAAGACAACACACAAAGGCCAGTAGATGACACAGAAAAAGTTCAGAAACTCAGAAATGCATAAAGTACATATATGATGTTGTATAATATCAACATATTTTATATTTTAATACCATAATAATTCCAACTTTTTTCTGGTATGAAGAGAGGGCCAAAAAATGGTATGCGGGTTTTTCCAGATTGAAGGAACACTGTGCCCCTAACCCCCGTGATGTGGAAGTGATAACAGTATTGTGACTACAATCACTGATCAGAGAATTTTTTCCTTGGTGAAGTGTGGATAGCATTAGTGTTCACATTTAGTCTTTTGGATTCCAACTGGGTGCAGAATAGCAGTCTCCTTTGGCAGAATCATCAACAAAAATATGGGATAAGTCAGGTTTTTCTAGTAGCCCACTCTCAAATTTAGACTCTTAGTGGACCTTTTCTCTTGCCTTTTACATAAGACCGAGCTCTATATTTTAGGGGATTTTTTCTGCTCTGTAAACATTGTGTGAATGCTTTGTCAGGCAGCACTTTCTGGTTCTCTGAAAGGTTAGCAATCAAACGAGAAGCTTTCTCTTTAGGAAGCTGCAGGGAAAAGGACAGAGAGTGTCAGTTATTAGGCCAGGCAGATCTGTTGATTGAGTCAGATGCTGCAAACAAATTCTGAGGATAATGTCAATGTTCTTTAATAAAACAGTGCATTAATAAGTCAGAGGGAGGTCTCTGTAGGAATGGACATCCTGTTTGGGCAGAATGTAAGAGACAATTCTCATTTAGCACAGAAAGGCTCACGGCTGGTACTGAGGCAAGACTCAGCAGTGTGGCCTTGAATTGACATTGATGCATGTGGTCTGTGCACACCTCCAGGGGCAGAGAATTATCAGTGATAGAGTCTCAGGCTGCCATGGAAAATACACTTGGGAGTGGGAGCTAATTACTTACTCTGGAAATCTTCTTTCTGCTTTATCTGGCACTCAGGAAGGAGGTCCATATAATGTCATAATTGAGTGCATTCCTTCTTTGACTATTTATTATTCTATTGAGTGCATTTCTTTTTTTTACTATTATTGACTATTGACTATTATTCTTTTATTCTGTTACTGTTTTAAAATTTCCTTGTGTTTCCGATGTAACTTTTATAGATGAAAAAGTTGTAGCACATTTTTTCTTTTTGGTGGTTGGTTTTCTCTTAAATTCTTCCCTCCTCGCTTTTCAGGTAGAAGATTTTATTATTATTAATTTAATAAGTTTTTAATGTCTATTGTTTTTATATCAGTCATTTCTGGATATAATGCTTCTCTGTTTCCACCACCACCAAGTGAGCCCCTCCTTTAGAACAGAAATTTAAGCAAAACCCAAATCAATACAATGACTTTAGTTGACAATGTATACTGCATTCTGTACCCCTAGTCCTGGCACTTCCCCATCCTGAAATATACATTCTTATCTCTTCTTCTGACAAATTTGGTCATTTTAATTTCTCAGCATTTGGGGTCATTTTAGTGTTCTTTCTACTTGTATTATTGATTTATCATGCATAAGCTTCTTCTGATTCTACTTACTTTATCCTCCAACAATTCATGCACATTTCCACATTTTTCAGATTTCCTCACTTTTTTCTTATAACACAATAATATTTTAAATCAGTTTTAAAAGATTGTCCTTTCTATTGTTGATTCTGCAGCAAAATGTAGTGGACAAACATCTGGACTCATCAGGAGAAACTCTGGTGTGAATCTTGCCTCTGGTTCTTGCTGGCTGAGTGATCACAGGTGAGTTCCTCAACCTCTCCGGGTCTCAGTTTCCTTATCTATAAAATAGCTGGATGCAAAGCACTTTAAAACCTTAAAGTGTTACCTAAATATCAGCTATAATCTTAAAAAAAGATATTTAAAGGATAAGCCAGTGCCTCATTGTGCATCCTGTGATACTTACCTTAATTCAAATAAGTAAATTAGGAGATGGAGACAATGAACATGAATATTATTAAATAGATTCCACTAGGTTGACAGGAATTTGTACTCAAGTCTAGAGAATTATTTGATTGATGAAGTAACTCCTTAAACATTGGTTCTAGCCTGGTGAATTTTGAGTGTATTGGAGTAAGACTTTTCCTATGCTTTTCATGAATCTATCCGTCTCTCTCCAGGCCTCCTTTGCTGTTTTGCATTTTCCTTTGTTGAGAGTAGAATTCAGTGGCAAGAGTCACTGAACTATGAAGTAATGGAAATAGTATGAAAGGGCACCTGTTCTTACGAAATTTCTAGATCTATCCTTGAGATAAGCTTCAGATACTGATCTGAACCTAATGACCCGTTTGAGCATGGCTTCATGCCAGTGTTATTCCTCTTTTTTAGAATGTCATGTGTCCCTTTACATAACAAACTCTTAGTTATCCAGAAGTTGATTACTCAGTGTGGGGCTGGTTCATAAGAGCATGGACTTCAGATTGGATTAAGCAGCTGGGATGTTGCTTCTTCTCTTCCTTTTGTTACTCATCATTTTCAGTTTTTATTAGTGCCACTCTTGAGGGTGGAATGAGAGAAAGGAAGAGGACATTGTGAATGTTAATTTTGTGCTGTCTCAGAAATTGCTTTAAAGAGAACATAATGATTTAAGTGAAGTGAAGGCATTCAGTCCATATATTACTCATGCTCCCTCTTTTCTTCATTAACATGAATGATGATATTACCAGTTTACCTGAGTGTGTTTCTATATTCACTTAGATATGTTTTCCTCAGCCTTAAGGAGAGTTGTCTTCCATTTTACAATCAGGGAAAATGGAGGCAAAAACAGCTATCTAAAAATGGAATGGACTGCTTTTTGAGGTAGTGAGCTCCCTCCTACTGGAGGGTACTCAAGAAGAGGCTAGATGGCCATCTCTCAGGGATGTTACAGAAGAGATTCTTATATTGGATAAAAAGTTGAACTCTCAGTGTTTCCTAATGATTAGTGCTTGGCAAAGTTTTATTATCCTGGAAAACTTTGACTTCCAAAGACTGTCCTTGAAACCTATAAAATTAAAAACAAACTTTTCCTCCTCCTCTCTCTTGGCATCCTGTTTTCTTCTCTCTAACTCGTGGTCTTCTAGTCCAGAGCTGCCAAAACTGAATTGATAAAAAGTAGAATGGTCCCAGGAAGAGAACTGAGAAATCTGGTTGAGCTTTGGGAAACTTTAAACTAGTTGACTAATGAATGTTATTTGATGATTAGATGACTGGTAATAGTGTTTTGCCCCAAATCTCAGACTCCAGAAATGGAATGGCAGTCTACATATATTCTGCTTTGTTGGGTAATACCTATTCTCAGTGGCAAAATGTTACCTAACCAAACAGTTTTTCCATAAGTCATTTTGTTTCTGGCAAATACCTAATTATGCCATATTGAAAACTGAAGGGTATATCAGGAAATTCAGAAATGTGAGAGCCATTCTCACCATCTTCAGAAGGCACTGCCACATTCCCCTCTTGATTAAACCATTATGTTTTGGTGGCTAGAAAATAGGTCACCAATACAGCTATCTCTACAATTGTCACTGTTATATGTAAACTCAAAGCATTTTTAAGTACTGTTGGGTGCTGGACATTATGCTAGTTACTAAGGTGCTAATGGATATAGCGATGGGCCTGGGATCAGGAAGAGCTGAGTTCAAATTTGGCCTCTGGCATTTACTAACTTTGTGACCCTGGGCAAGTCACTTACCCTCTGCCTCAGTTTCCTGAATTGTAAAATTAAGATTAAAATAACACTTACCTCCCAGGATTATCTGTGAGGATCAAGTGAGATATTTGAAAAACACTTAGCACAGTACCTGGTGCTTTATAAGTTCTTGTTTCCTCCATAAAGCTACAAAGACAAAAATGGAAATAGGTTCTGCCCTTGAGGAACTTACATCCTATTGGGAGAAAATAACATGTAAACAGATAAGTAAATGCACTGTGTGTATACAAAATAAGTGTAGAGTAATTGGAGATGGGCAGCTAGGTGGCGCCATAGTGCACACAGTGCTAGGCCTGGGGTTAAGAAGACTCATCTTCCTGAGTTCGAATATGGCCTCAGACATGTAATAGCTGTGTGACCCTGGGTAAGCCACTTTACTCGTTTGCCTCCATTTCCTCTTTGGTAAAAGGAGCTGGAGAAGGAAATGGCAAACCACTCCAATATCTCTGCCAAGAAAACCCTAAATAGGGTAATGAAGAGTTGAACACAACTGAAAATGACTGAACAAAAACAAAATAGGGGATGGGAGGCACAGATGATTTTACTGTTTATTCACCCTGGAAGAAAGACATCTTGGAAGATGTGGCACCTGAGCTGAGGCCTAAAGAGGGCTAAGGGTTCCAAAGGTAGAGCTAAGGAGAGAGAGCATTTCAGGAATGGGGGGAGGCAGGGTGCAGCCTATGTAAACACATAGAGATGAAAGGCAGCTTGTGTACAGAGAACAGCAAATATCTAGGTTTGACTGGATGTGAGGGGGAATAGTGTGTAATTAGTCTGAAAAGATAGGTTGAAACTTAATGAAACAGGCATTTCAAGGCAATCTCTCAAACCAACCCCAGCCCACACCTAGTCAAACTGTCTTCTCCTACCTAGCCTCTTCATTCAGGTGCCTTTCCATGGTTGCCCCTTGATAGGATTGTAAATGCAATGGGGTGAATTTCTTTTGCAAAGGCAGGGCTCCTGGGATTGATAGTCTAACCTCTCTCCTCCTTCCCATCTCTGTCCACTGCTCTACAGCACCTGTATATCAATTGTTGTTAAAGCCTGTAAAATGCTATGGTGTTAAAGCATCCCAGGGTATGAACTGTGTTGATTAAGGAGTCACCACACGAGATCAGTCCAATGTGGCAGAAAGAGCTAGATCTGGAATCAAAAGGCCTGGATTTGAATCCTAGCTGTGCAGTTGATAGGTGAGTAATCTTGGCCTCATTGATAAAATGGGGGATGGGGGTGGGAGGGTAGACTCGAGGAGCTTTCCAGACCTGGATCGTCTGAAGAGGGAATGGGACTTTGGATAACAGAAAAAGCCTGGGAACATGGGACTCTTATGGTGGTGGCTGAGTCAGACAGTAAGCATTTATTAAGTATCATTTATGTGCCAGGCATTGGGCTAAGCACTAAGAATACAAAGAAAGGCAAAAGACAGTCCCTGGTCTCAAGCTCAGTCCAATAGTGAAAGAGAAGGAAGGACAATATGCAAACAACTGTGTACAAACAAGCCATTCATAGGGTTAACTGGAAATAATCTACAGTGGGAAGACACTAGTTTTAGGGGGATCAAGAAAGGTCTCTTATAGGTGGGATTTTAGCTAAGACTTGAAGGAAGCCAGGGAAGCCTGGAGGCAGAAACAAAGAGGGAGAATATTTCAGGCATAGTGGACAGCCAGTGGAAATACCCAGGTGGTGCAGGATGGGGCTTCAGAGAGCCAGGGAAGGGGAATAGATCGGCAAGAGGGAGAGTGGAAAAGCACTAAAGACAAACTTTTCCTATTTTGAAATTTTGGCGTGGGTCAGTCTATCGTTCTGCTTGTTCTGTCCTTCCTCATGTTGGGCTTTATTGCTACCCACAAGCGTAACTGATTGCTCATTGTGTATGGAGCACTGGCCTGGATGCTCTGGGTGTGGGGGGTGGGCGTGGATAGGAGAGACTAGGACATGGTGATCTTTGAGCATTCATAGTCCAGCTGGTGGCAGTTCTGCTCTTCGATCTCTTCCCAGTAGCTACTTATTGAGTTTATTTCTAGCTTTTTTCTTTAAATAATGAAATCCAAGGCAAAAACCAGACTGTGATAAAAAAAAATTGACTTTTCCGGTTTTTGATTGCCACCCGCTTTCCAAAGCCTTGATATTTCATATAGTTAATAATAGCATGCTTTTCAGGGGAAAATTCTTAATTTGAAAATGTTGCATATGGCCCTTTTTATCAGGGGACATGAGCTGTCAAAATAAATAGATCTAATTAGGAGCCATTGTTACAGAAATGGGTATTTAAAAGAGTGGAAACAAAATTTCAAAAGAGGGCTTTATGCTTTAAAAAAGCTCAGAACAATCCATCTTCCTTTGTTGACTTTTTTAGGGTATTTTTTTTTTACAAGTTGTTCAGCTGAGCAGGGACTTGACCAAGATGGCTGGTTCCTTAGAACATCACTACATGTTCCCCCCAGCCCCCCACCTACTTCAGAGGGTCATCAGTGTGTTTTGGGCACTCATTGAGGTAAGGGGTTGCCTTACAGTGAAGAGATTTGGGCCACTTGGTATGTTCCAGGTTAGGAAAGCTCATGGTTCCGGAACACTCTGGGGAATGGCTGTACATAAATAGATCCATGACAAATGCCCAAAGCAAGTCAGAGCTCCAACCTAGGTGGTCTCAGAGCTATCTCATTTCACACATACATCTTAAATCCAATTCAGCAGACATTTACTAAGTAGTTACTATGTGTGAGGGAGCTAGGCCCTAGAGATACAAAAGAGAAATGACAGAGACCCTGCTCTGCCTTTAAGGGCCCACATTTTACTGGGAGGTGCAGATAGAGTGGGATGAGGGATATAATGTAGATGCAGATAAGTATAACATTCCAGGTGAGGTAGTGATGGGTGGCTAAGAAGAAATCTACAGTGCTCTATGAGTATTTCAGGAGGGAGGCACTATATTGAGCTAGGGAAATTAGAGAAGGCTACATGGAGAAAGAGGCCTTGATAGAAACCAAGGATTCTGAAAGGTGAGGTGAGGCAAATATCTATGAATTCCAGACATGGGGTGTGGCTTGTGCAAATGTGAACTGGTGGGACATGGCATGTTGAGCTTGGGGAAAAGCTGGTTATTGAGTTTGGCTGAAGTGCAGAATGTGAGAGCGGGAGTAAGGTGAAATAAGGTTAGAAAGGTAGACTGAAGCTAGATTTCAAAGGACTTTTAAATGCTAAGGTAACGAATTTGTATTTTATCCCAGAGACAATCTGGGATATTTATTTATTTATTTTTGGGATGGTAGGGGTGGTGATGATGGAGAGTTGAAAGCTGAAACTTATGCCTTAAGAAGATTATTTTGGTACTTGTATCAAGGATGGAGTAGATAAGGGAGAAACTGAAGGTAGGGAGGCCAGTTGAAAAGTTGTGATGATCATTGAGGTAAGTGGTGATGAAGGGCAAACTAGGGTAGTAGCAGTGTGAATGAAGAGAAAGAAATGGATGTGAGAGGGTTGAGATAGAATCAATAGACTTTTGGAGGTGCTTGGCCATAGAAAGAGGGAAGGGTCGAAGATTAATAAGGTTTTGGGCTTGAGTGTCTTGGAAGGAGTGGTGCCACCAATAGAAATGGGAAAGTTTGGAGAAAGGACTGGTTTGAGAGGGGGTAGGGAATGAGTCACTTCTAAATTATGTTGAGATGTGATTTTTCAGAGTAGAAATTCACTAAGATGAAACTAGGGTACTTTTTAAGAAAATTAAGGGAATATGGGGGTTAGCACTGTCAACAGTACTGTTGAAGAGAAAGGTTTATCTATTTGAGTTAAGTTATGCTAGCGATAAATCTTTGTACAGGGTGTCCCAAAAATCTCAGTGGAGTTTTAGGCTTTAATAGATTAAACTCCACTAACACTTTTGGAACACTGTATTTTGGGAGTGTTCACACTGCTTTATTGACATCTAAATAATTCTTTTAATTTACTTTTGGGGTGCTGGGCATTATTATTTCCATTTTATTAATTGAAAAATTAATGGTTTTATGGTACTATTGTTTTACAAATTGATCAACACCTACAGTGATTTTCTTTCTGTTACACTATTGGGATTGACCTTAGAGAAATACAGTTTTGGAACTGGAAAAGTCTGTTACCTTTTGTCAAAATAAGCCTTGCCACCCTCCTAGGAGATGAGTACGTTGGAGGCTTCAGATGCCAAATATCTAAGAGTCTCTGTTTAAAAGGCTGAATGTTTCTGAGAAAGTCATTCTTCATAGGACCTAGTAAAATAGAATTTTGGGAAAAGTGTTGACATGGCTGAATTTGATGAAACTTTCCCCCCATTAGTAGAGTCTGTTCATATCGTCTAAAAGTCTTCAGCCTATATAGGAAGTGGAAGATTGTGGAGGCTGTAAATCTAGAAAGTTTATACAGACATATAATATTATCAAGGTACACTTGTAGCTAATAGAGCCACAATGGGTTAACCTATCCAAGGTACCATTTATTAAATTCCCTTTTCCAGAGCACTCACTGATTAGTCCCCTAAAAGAGTTTATTAAATGCTTTGCTGTGAGACTGTTTTCTTCCCTAAGCCTACCATAGATGCAGCCTCATTTCTGTCATTGCTGGATTTGCCATTCATCATCACCAAGGTAATTAATTGCATTGACCTTCCAAATGGTTAATGGATGCCTAAATTGGAAATAGCTTTTTAATGCTGCCTATGCAGACTAGTTTGGGGGTGAACCTAGAGACATTTGCTATGAGTTTGGCAAAATAACTCTAATTAATTGTGAAACCTGCTGCTTTCAGCAGAACTCCCTTTACCAGGGATTCTTTTCCTTTAACTACTAAATCCAAGAATATTTCAAGGGAAATTCAGCCCAAACGTTTCTGATTCATTTACAACTATTTGCTCGAAATAGCAGTGTTTCATAATAGTGGCATGCTATTCACAGATCCTTTAAAAAATAGATCTTTATAACTTCAGGAATAAATGGGACTCTGATTTTCCCCCCAAAGGGTTGGAGACAATGCACAGAATGTTCTTTTATCTTAGAAAAGCCATTCTCCCATCCCTGCTGGCCTACATAAGATTGAGATCACAGTGACTAACTGGGAAGCCAAACAGGGCACACAGCTCAAGCTATCCTCTGATGAAGGGGTCCAACATGTGAAGCATCTGCCCTGTGGGGATTTAAATTGAATATTTCTTGAGCCCTCCACTAGTAGCTTTGGGGCTTTACGTAAATCCTCAATTTATAGGAACCTATCTGATCGTTTATAACCCTATGAGCAAGGATGACATAAGCCCTCCCTGTAGTGTCCATGGGCTGAATAATCACAGTCATCTATTTCTGGGCTGAGAATACTTGGCATCTCAGCTTGTAAAAACCATATTTATACAGATTCTAGTCTATGGCAGATGCTATCTTTTGGACATGAAGCTTTAGCACTTAAAACGAAATAAGAGATTATCACTTCTTGGTGGTTACTCGCTGGGGAGTCATCAAGACACATATTTGGCCAGAGAGGTAGGGATGAGGAACGTTGACTTAGAACCAGGACACCTGAATCAAACCCAAAGCAAGGTGTTTTCTGGCTGGGGAAACTGCTATAAGGTACATGCACCTCCATTGACTATACAAATACCCAAGCCTTTGTCTGAAGTCCCTGACCCTTTATTGTTCCCCCTGACTTTTGTACCTGCTGGGCTCCTGGGCTAAGCAATAGACTAAATCGAGGGTTCTTAACCCAGGGTCCACAAGTTCAAGGCAACTAGATGCTGTAGTGGCTAGAATGGCGGTCTTGGAGTCAGGAAGACCTGAGTTCAAAGTTGGCTTCAGACACTTACTAACTGTATGACTCTGGGTAAGTCACTTGACTTCTATCTGCCCCAGTTTCCTCAGCTGTAAAAAGAGGATGATAATAGTACCTACCTCCCAGGGTTTTTGTGAGGACCGAATAAGATCATATTTGTAAAGTTCTTGGCCCATAGTAGAAACTCTAAATGCTCATTCCTTTCCCCACAGACCCCAAAGGGTCCATAGATAGATTCCAGGGGGGAATTTTGGATGGGAAAAATGCAATTTTATTTTCACTTACCTCCAACTTAAATTGAGCATTTACTCCCATTATTTAGAAAACATTATTTTGAGAAGGGCTCCATACATTTCACTAGACTGCCAGAGGGGTCAAGAACTCCTGGACTAGATAATGAAGAAGCATC